CTCATCTAAAAATGGCTTGATCAGCCTCATATCAAGGAGCTCAGCTCATTTTTGTCTGCTGTATTATGGAAATATTTGGCTAGGACTCAAGCTTGATGTACTTAGCCCTTCATGAGCAAAGCAGATGCAAAACAGTTGCTTAGTTCTTCAGGAATTCCTGATTAATATAAAATTTTGCTTCAATGAGCCATGTAGTCTGCTGAAACAAAACCATATTCTTTAACAGGAGGAAAAAGCATATCTGGCTGTGTTTTCGAGAATATATGTCACAGAAGTGTAAAAGGGTTAAGTCCAGCCAATGGAAGAACTGATTACTTACATCTCCCTCACTGAAATGAACAAAACTTTAAAGTGGCGAGCCTCAACTGGACTGCACACAATAGTGTTTAAACAAAAGGCATACATGTGGAGTGATGTGGTGGATTCTTATGAGTGCAGATGGAACTAATAAATTTGAGGGAGGTATCCAAAGTTTGACATTTTCTGCCCCTCAACTGCCCCCTACCTCCATACTTAAAACTTAAACTCTTAAAACTGATTTCTGATGGTCCTACAGCTGTTCTCTTTGGTGTCACTAAAATGACTTTCATTCATGGTGAACGTTCCATGAATTAAAAACCTCTCTTTCTATTGTCATGTGCATTCCTACTCAAGAGATAATAGTACCATGCTCTGAAATATTGCAGAAAATCTGTTCATGTTCACCCTTGAAAGTTTTTTTTTTGTTTGTTAATAGAATAAAGAGTAGAAGAACAAATACTCCTTTTATTGTTTCCGGGTATAACGTCGTGCTTTCAGGGAATGATTCCCATGGTCATATGCATGTGAACTTTGTTGGACAGGCTTGCCTCATAAACATGCTTAGAGGTGATCCTATAAGCTAGCCTTCTCCAACAGTTGCTAGCATTCCTCACCTTTGGCCATGATGGCTGGGCCTGATGGGAATTGTCCAGAATATCTGGAAAGCACCAGACTGGCAAAGGTGGATCTAAGTGGTATCAAAGATTTTTGGAAAGTTGCTGTTGGATATGGAAAATCATATTCTTGGGTATGTTACTGCACTACAGGAATTCTTATGGAAGCTACCCTAATTAGGCAAACCATTAAGCTTATTTGGCAGGATGGAAAATTAAGCACTTGTAATACACTCAGCTCACCTCTCCAACCCCACTGCCAAGAAGCATGTAAAATGTACCAGGCCAAACTTTAAGGTTAGTTGCTCCTGAGCTTATTCAAAAACTTTCACCCACACAAGGTAATGTACTACTTGCTACCCGCTAGAGGGAAGCCTTCAGTCATAGGGGCTTGCAAAATTCCTATGCTCTGCCAGTCTGCAGTGTTTGTCTCCATCCTTTTTATTTAAAAAAAAAAAAAACAATTTAAAAAGGAAGAATGATTTTAAGCCTCTTGGAGGGAGTTGTACTTTCAGAAGTAGGACCAGGACTGGAGAAGGTATAGGTGTCTGTGAAGTCTCAGAATGTTTGTTTGTTTGTTTTTAAATCTGGTTTTATTTCAAGAAGTAGCCCTACACATTTCAGCCCTGAGGAATTAGGAGGCCTTCCCCATAAATACCTGCACAGATCTCCAAGGTGAATCCAATTACTTCCCTCCCCACCAAATGTTTAGATTTCATCTGCTTATTGGATCATTTTGGATATTTTCCAGTTTTGTTTCATAACTTTCTTCCAGATTTTTCTTTTAGGAAACCAAGTACAGTGGTACCTTGGCTCACGAACTCTGGTAGTGACCTAAATTGGTCGTGAGCCAAGTTAAATTTCCCCATAAGGTTCAATGTAAATAAGGTTAATCCATTCTGTAACTTTTTTTTTTAAAATCAGAAAAATGTGAAGCAAACAACAAAGATCGCGGCCATCCCCCCCCCGCCCCCGAGCACGATCGTGGCCATCTTCCTACTTGGGGGTGGGGTGGAGATGGCTGCGATCATGCTGGTTGGAGTGGGGTGAGATGGCTGAGATTGTACCCGTCTTTCCTACAGGAGTGTGCCTGTGATCACACATGTCTTCCCTACACGAACACAACAGTGATCGTGGCCATCTTCCCACTCGGGGGTGGGGAGATGGCTGCGATCTTGGTCACCACCCAATGTGGAGTTCGTGACCCATGTCAAAATTTTCATGAAATTTTTGTTCACGACCCGATTTGGTTGTTAACCAAGGTGTTTGTGAGCTGAGGTACAACTGTATGTGTGTAATGTTGCTCATGCCTTAAATGCCAGCAGATTGTTTTTTTAATTTTCAAGAAATTAAGGATCTGGCCTGTAAAATCATTTATGTATGGTTTTATTTATTTGCCTTATTTTGTTACTTCAGTTCTGTGTTTTTCAGTATTGCTGACTTGAACAATGTAGAGGTAATCCATGTTCAAAAAGTAAACTTTAATGTGCCCTCAGCATAACGAGGGCAACTTGCCTCACCCAAGACAAGACAAAGCCTTCCATTGGTTAAGATTGTCTTCATGTTGTGCTGCAGATCTTGGAATATTTCTCTCCAGTTTTTTAATACGGGTTTGTTAGGGTGTGCTGCTTTGGTCTTTGAAAGGTGGACTAGTACACTTAAAATGGATTGGTGGTTATCCCGTTTCTCCAGAGAGGCTTGGGAACTGTTGTTCTGTGGAGGAAGTTTAGGATATCCAGCATATCCATGTCTTCACCTTTACAGCGCAGTGGAAGTAGCAGTGGACATGTTTGCGCGTTCCAAGGAATTTGTACAGAACAGAGACTATGTGTTCAATTGCAAGGTACTTCTATCATGCTTGAGAATGTCTGGCTTCTCTAACCTTCTTTAGGTGTTTAATAAAACATGTTATTTAAATGTATGGGGAGTGGAAGCCGCTTCCCTCTGTCATTGCTCTCATTGCATGGAATGTGTAAAGGTGAACTGTCTGTTGGCGGGGGCGTCTCCACCTAATCTAGAACTTTGGCTGATCCAGGCCTCATGGAGAGACACCATGGATAAAGTAAACTGTTCACTTCACTCCATATGTTAAGTGAAATAGAGTGATGAGTGAGAGGGCAGAGCTGGTGCACTCCCTTCCTCTCATGGTTAAACAGCACACTTTATTGCACACCCGAAAAAGGAAAATTCTTAGAGAAAAATCAGATGTGATGCTACTGTCATAACTTGGAAGCATATTGGGCTGTTTGAATAAAAGAGTTGTTGGTGCAAGGGATTCTTTTTGAGAGTGCAGAGGGAATTTTAATTCTCTCCAACTGTAATTTCAGGGAAAAAAGTTCATCCTAGATGCCATTAGCCCTGGGAAGTTGTCTGTAGTACTAAAAGAGGGCTTCTCTCCCCAGCAGCCAGGGGAATGATGTACATTGAGCAGGGTAGAGTTGAATCCTGATGAAAATTACTCACACACCCTGGCCTGATAATAATTTAAAAAATTAGACGCAAAACTGCTTTCAGGATGCAGTTAGCATCATTTGTTTGTTTCTCAGCTTTTTAACCAATCTACAATTCCTAGGTTTCCTTGGGGAAGGACAGTGAAGCAGGTATAAATCTGCTCTGAGCTTGCTGGGTAAATGCGCAACCACAGTTCTTATCTAATATTGAGATTGGCCCTGCTTTGATCTGGTTTCTTTTTGTTCAATGGTGGTGGGGCTTATGGAACTCTACCCTGCTTTTGCACAATTTGACACCTTCAGTGACTCCACATTCCTCAGGAGAAAGAGAGGCTTCTGATACTCCATTCTGATTCTATACTGAGAGGGATAGTGGAACAAATGCATGAATGGGATAAATAGGACTAATGTGCTGCTGACCTCACCTCCCAGGCATTATACAAATACTTGTGAATAGTAGATGGGGAAAGATTTTTTTTTTTCTATCTGAAAGGAGAGGGAATGCAGAAACCAGGTGGATTGCCGTGGGCCAGCATGGGTTTCCAGTTTCCAGTCTTCTAAACCAAGGATGGGCGAACTGCATTCTTGAACTATTTTGGACCTGATTCCACTTCATGGACTTTGGAGTTATAATGAAAAACAAAGTAAATCACAGAAATCCGTCCCTGCCCTACAAACTCCTGTCCTAGCGTTGTGGTATCTAGGGCAGGAGTTGATTTCTTGATCTCATACTTCAGCTTCCAGCATTTGCGACCATTGCCAGTGCTGACAAGAACTTATGGAAGTTAAAGTCTAAAATGGATGGAAATCTACTTTCTGCCCCTAGAGGAACACATCATGGTAGCAGGCAGGTGTGAATGGGGCTAAGTGAGTATTGGTCCTGTGACAACACATAATTCCTTTGGAGTTAATTCCAGTGAAGTTGATATTGTATTGTGTTTGCTGCCTTGTGGGAAATGTTTTTGAAGAATGCTGTAGATTTGTAGAAATAACAAATAAAAACAGCATTGTAAGTTGTGAAGCCAGTATAAAAATGCTACTTTGGTTTTTGCTCCAAAATAACCTAGCACTCAAAAAGGATAAAGTGGGGAGGGAGGGGACTTTGCTTTTTCAGCCTTGTTACTTTTTCATACCATGCTCATAAAATTTTCAAAAAACTTTTTTTTAACAGAGAAACCAATATTTTTGTTTTATTTGTTCCAGCCACCTTAGAGACGTAGTAGGTTCTTCATGTAACCCTCACATGACCTGCACAAATGAAACTGAAAATCTGCAAACCCTTGCTTCCCTGTTCCCTCTCAGGATTCTGTAGATGATGTGACTTCACTATTAAGTCAGATTTTCTTTCCCCATTATCTCTCCCACACACATACCTCCACACACATTGTACACATATATGCACACACACACACACGTTTTATAGCAGCTTTCCTGAGAAAGATTTTGAGTTCTCAAAAGCCTACACATTTTTTGTGTTTTGTTTGGTTGGCCTAAGAATGGGATTACATTGGTATGGATAATCAAGACTGGTATACTTAAAATTATCACTGTAGTTGGAACCCAATGAAATGTATTTCATTTCCTTTCTCTCCAACTCTGCTTTTTCTTACACAATCCCAACTATATTTCTTTACAGTGTTGCATACCCAGGGCCCCATTGATGGCAGCCTGTATGCTAAAGTGAGAAAGAAAAGTGCCTCCGATACCAGCATTCCCAGTGGAGCCCAAGGAATACCAACCAGTAGCCCTGATCACAGCGACCATACCCTGTCTGTTAGCAGTGACTCAGGACACTCTACAGCATCTATAAGGACAGACAAGACGGAAGAACATCATCCTCCTGGAGCAAAGAGAGCCTTGAGTCCCCAGGAGAAGGAAGAGTTGGACCAGTTGCTTAGTGGCTTTGGCCTTGAGAACCCAGTCAGCTCTCTCAAGGATATGACTGACGCCCAAAGCAAGTACAGTGGGACTCGCCACATAGTACCAGCTCAGGTCCATGTGAATGGAGATGCCAAGCCCAAGGACCGTGAAACTGATATTCTGGATGATGAGATACCCAGCCATGACCTGCACAGTGTGGACAGCATTGGGACGCTATCTTCCTCTGAAGGGCAGCATTCCAACCACCTTGGCAACTTCAGCTGCCATAAGAGCAGTCAGAATTCTCTTCTGTCTGATGGCTTCGGGAGCAACACTGGGGAGGAGCACCATATCACTCTGGCCCCAGATCTGGGAATTGGCGTAGACCCCATCTATGAGACACCCTTTGGCAGCACTGAGCCAAAGCAGTCCCAGCAGCTGTCAAGGAACCCTTCGGTCTCTACCCAGCCACAGGCCTACAGCCCCAGTAACTATTCCACACAGACATGGGTGCGCCAGCAGCAAATGGTCATTGCTCACCAGTACGTCTACTCCCCAGAGAATGAAGTGAGGCTTGGGGTTCATGGTACAGTGGAGAACCCATGCAGCATCCAAAGCCAAAGCCAAGTTCCAGATACCCCTGCCCGGGGACCCAGCAGCAGAGATGCTGTTCAGAGGGGACTTGGGAGTATGCCCCCTTCCAGCTGTGTGGCAGAAGCGCCTGGGCATGAGGCTTTTAAATCAAGTTTAGTCTCTGAGAAGGGCACAAATGATCTTGACCTGAGACTGAATCCGGGAAACCATGCAGGGGGCTTGCCATCCTCCCCCACTCTGGATATTGATCAGTCGATTGAGCAGCTGAATAGGCTAATTCTGGAACTGGACCCCACATTTGAGCCTATTCCCACACGTATCAATGCCATCAGCAGAGATACAAGTCAGCTGAATGGCTTTGCCAGTCCTGAAATAGACGTGGGTGGACTTGGGAAGAGCCCCGGATTCCATGGGAAAGCAGAAGCCACTGACAGGAATCTGCCCCAGCAGGGTGAGTTATTTTTAATAATACATAAATGATATATGATCCTGCGCCCACAGTTGAATTCCCCCACTTTTGACATTGCACAGTAGGAATCTGTTAAAAGATTGAAAAATGAACTGTCTATGAATACTTCACTTTCACAGATCTGTGGAATGTTAAGGCGGAACTCCAGAGTCATTCATCTTTTTTAATTAATTAGTTGTCTCCACCCCTCAGATCAAAATAGTTTTAGATTACAAGACTGTCTGTGTGTGTTCTGTACCACTGCATGCAATAGCCATGCACAAATAATGAAGTTCTAAGGTATTGCTGGCTAAATAGATCTCCCTTAGTATTTCACTCCCTTACTCTAACACTTTTGCTGCCAGGTCCTCCATAGCTCTAGATGGCAGCAGCAGGGAGAGCAGAGAGGAACAGTCACTAGTGCTCAGCTTTTTAGTAGGGAGGAACTGATGTGTGCTGGCAGGTTGGGAAGATGGAAGAGTTGAGGGGTGGGTGTGTTCATGCAAAGACCTTCTAGAACATCTTAGAATTGTGAGCAACCTTTGTTTTGAAGGCTATTGCAATTATAAGTGCAGTACAGATGTAACAAATAAATGGAGGCTCTTCACATACCCATCTGGCTGGACAATTCTCTTGCTGAACTGGAGGAGAAGGCAAGGGGTGTCTGATTCAGCAACCCTGTGTAGAAATCCTGTTTGTGTGATTGTTCATTAAGTAAAGCAAGGAGAGACAATACCAATAACTACATGTAGTGTGTGTGTGTGTGTGTGTGTGTGTGTCCATTTGAACAAATTCGTAAACATGTGAACCAGCCCTGTGAGGTCCAGGGGTGCTTAAAATACAACTTAGTTTTTCAGTTATGTTTCAAGAATCTTCCCTTGTTACACTAAATTGCTGTTCAGTGCCCCCTTTTAAAGGGAATTCCATGTTTTCTAATTACAGGGTGGGGTGGCAACACTAACTTCATAGTTATGTTTCCTTTCCTCCCTTAAAAAAGAACTGAAACCACTCTGTATTCCACATCATTGATGCCATGTTGTTTTTTTAGTTGGCATCATTTTCAAATATGTGTGGTATTCTCAGCAAACTGCTTGAGGAGGTAAACCCTGAAGGGTTCCAGAACCTGTGAAAGTAAGTGTGTTAAAAATCATTTAAGGTAGCTGCCAAGGTGTGTTTATTTTCTTTAAGAAGAAATAGGGGAAGATTTTTAATCCTGCTACACAGCCAAGACAACAGTGCTTTTACAAGATATGAATGCCCTTTCACTAAACCAAGGCTACAGAAACCCCACCCTGGGCCCCAATCCAAACTCCTGGAGTCCCAGTCAAGCTCTCTAATAAGTTTAAGACAACATAGGTTGGGATTTTTGGCCTGGCCCTTCTTCCTTTGGCACTGTCCATCATGGGAATGTGGCTTCCAAGTACTTCTCCAAATTGGAATCTTGCTCTTGGGGGAAGGTTCAAAACCCTCTCCATATGCTATTTTAAATGAACTTCTCATGGCACTGCCATTGTAGTATGTTTAGGGGATAATGTTGGAGTACTCAGATATTTTCAGCCACTTATATCTATGAGCATACTCAGGTAAATTCTTTTTAAAAGTGCCCCTAATCATGATGGCAGCTAATTTACAAGTGCTCCATTTTATGTATAACCATATTCTGTTGTTAAGTATAACTTGATTTGCATCCCAGTAGTTCTTGCTCTTACTTCTCACTGGGAATGCCCTAGAGGTGCATAATTTTCATTAAGGCTCTTGAGAGCTAGCACATGGGCTGCATGTGATCCCCTCCTATCCAGCGTTCTTTGTGGCCCCATTTGCCATTGAATTTGCCTTTGATTCCCCTCTCACCAAGAAAAGAAAAGAAAGAAATCTGCTGCATAGTTGTGAGGAAAAATTTGGAAGTTTTCGCTTTCTCTTTTGCCGAACCAGTTTGTCACATTGTCCAAACCAACAAACCAAACTTTAATTCTCCTCTGTGGTCTCTGTGCATTACATATACGGGCTCTGCATGCATGTGTGGAGCTGTTTTGGGAATCTTCCAAAGCTGAATAATTAGTATTCAGCAGGAGCCCATCCCCCAGGCACACCCAGCATGCAGGGTGGAGCTCCCATTGAGACCCCAGTTCTTCTTCCACCGTCATGGTGAGCGCATTGGGAAGTTCTTCCTCTGCTTCTCTTACCTCTTCCAGAGCTATCTCCTCATTTACCCTCTTCCTTTTGTTCTCTGCAAAAAAAAAAAGGGGGGGGCAATTACTGTTAGTTTCCCATTTTACCCTCTCTTCCTGATTCCTCTCACCCCAGTTTCAATTTCTTTTGTTTTAAACAGACTGTACTTAACATTGACCACAGTTGCTTCAGCCAACATGACAAACTGTGGTTAGACAAAAATGCATGATAAATTTCATAACATTTGTAAATAGAATTCAGTAGTATGTGCATTAAAGTCCACTTTAATCCCAGAACAATTTTTTGGGCTAGCATAGGTTCTGAGATACTGAGTGAGCTCAAGCCCATCCAGGGTATGCATTGTTAAAAAAACAAACATGCAATCCCAGACTTCCCTAACCTGGTGCTCTCCAAATGTTTTGGGCTGTAGCTCCATTGAGCATGGTGCCCTACAGCTCATGAGGGCTGAAATCACACACATCTGAAAAGTAGCAGCTTGGGGAAGGCTGCTCTATCTTCTGTACCACACAGACTACAAATAAAGCAAGTCATTTTTATTAAGAAAGAAAGCTGTTAAATTCTACATAGATATCCTTCATGCTCAGAATTTTGGTCTTCCTTGTTATGGATTGGATGTTTTTTTAAAGTTGAGAAATACTCAAGTGTATGTACTTGCTTCATGATTCAAGCAAGGGATGCATAGATATGGTGATATTTAGCTAAAAATTGTGACAGTTTTGTGAGCTTGTGAGTAATTAAAATGCTTGCAGAAATCTAATGTTGAACCTCTATGATTTATTTAAGCTGTGGCATCTTTATACTCTGCCATTTCAAATCCAGGAAGACATTATGTCTCATTTGGTTTGCAAAAGCAGAAAAGTTGGGGACAGGATGAAATGAGCATAGTTGAAGACCCTTCAACGGGTGTGGGTGGTTTTTGTCCCACTCTATCCAGTTTTGGAATTGCAGGCTTTGTGGCGTAAAACCATGTCTCTTGATCTTTCTCTGCAAAAAATAACCTGCCTCTTGAAGACTAGGAGATGAATCGGGAGGATTGCCCATTGGTTAGGTGCAGGCAAATTTAAGTTGAGGAGCCTGCTTGAACAGAGGGCTGTACTCACCCGTTTTCTTCACAGACATTTGGAGCCAGTGTGGTGTAGTGGTTTGAGTGTTGGACTAAGACTCAGGAGCTCTGGGTTCTAGCCCCTACCTGGTCATGAAGCTCACTGGGAAACTTTGGGCCAGTTACTGTCTAAGCCTAACTGACCTCACAGTGTTGTTGTGAGATAAAATGGATAGGCGTGGGAGGTCTATGTAAGAAGATCTGGGTTCTTTGCAAAAGGAAAAATGGCAGGATGTAAATGAAATCTATTCTAGTTAGCTAGTTAATTCAAGAAGGAGAGCTTGCATATTTGAATGTGTTTACATTGAAAAGTTGCACCATCTTTAGACTGAGCAAGAAATAGTTGATTTGGGGTATCATCTGTTTCTGTAGAAAAGTTGGCAATACCACACTAAGCTATGCTCGTAGCATATTGAACAGTGCTTAGCAGGTGACCACATTTATTTCCATGTCAAGAAAAACTTCACCTATTCATTCCTACTGTTAAAGATACCATAGCAGAAACCAATGACAACCCTGCTTTTTAAATATGGAGATTTGTTTATAATCTTGGAGGGGGAATGCCCTTATTTCTCATTTGCTTGTTTACTCTTCTTAACAGCAGTCTTAAAGAGGACATCTGTTCCCTGTTTTATGGGTTGACCACCTTCCTTTTTGTTGCTGTTTGCATTATAAAGAGATGAGTGGCAGTGGGAGCAGGGATGGAATAGTGGCTTAAATGCACAGCACCTGTTTTAGCATCCATACTTTCTGGTTGGGAGAAAATTAACCTGTAGGTAGTGAATCTGTGCCTGGACTATTCTCAGACTGTCTGTATACAATCACATGGATCATTGCTTCTCTGTACAAATAATATTAGGAATAGTTCTTTAAAGCAGCTTTCCAGCATGAAAGTGAGAAGGATACTAGACCCCCTGGCATTCTAGCGTTTTGTGTGGAGGGATCTGGGCACCCTTTTAAAATATTTCCTCTGCTGTTGCCAAATTTATGGATCAATTTTCTGTAAGAACATACTTAAAGTTATTTATAAAATTTTAAAAAATGGAATGCCGATAAAAATGATAAAAAGTAGGCAATTTAGAATATCCCCATAAAGGCTAAGTGGCTACATTTAAGGGACAATCCCCTTTTTTCCCTAATGTTTATATTCCCTTTACTCTTTTAAAAGTTAAAACGTTAAGTCCAGTCATGCCTGACTCTAGGGGGTGGTGCTTATCTCCGTTTCCTAGCTGAGGGAGCCAGCATTTGTCTACAGACAATCTCCATGGTCATGTGGCCGGCATGACTAAACACCAAAGTGCATGGAACGCTGTTTACCTTCCCACCGAAGTAGTACCTTGTTATCTACTTGCATTTGTATGCTTTCAAACTGCAAGGTTGGCAGGAGCTGGGACGGAGCAACAGGAACTCACCCCGTTGTGCAGATTCAAACTGGCGACCTTTTGATTAACCAGCCCAGCAGAACAGCAGTTTAAACCACTGCGCTACCTGGAGTCTTCCATTTAAAAGCTACTATAGCTTAGCCTTTATTGAAATGAAGGTAAACAATCCTGCACCTGCCTCGGACAATAGGAATAGATGCTTTCTGACAATTTCTGATCCAGTTATCAGAAGCCCTCCCTAAGAAGGGCTGTGGTTTGTTGAATTAAAAAAGAAAGTTAATGAGATTTGTGTATATTGTGTGAATTTTGGGAAGATGGGTATCTGAAAA